ATAACCATCCGCCTTCAGCCTTTTACACAAACGCCCAGAACAGCACAGAGTTTCCACAAGAACCATGCTTCGTTTCGTAACGGAAATGCACTAAGCTGAAGTTTAAGAGTTCTTTTTTCCCCAAATGTTACTTTTTTGACCTACCCAAAGTGAATCTAAAGAGCTAAGAACTAACAGTTACTTTTAACATACTTCTGAAGATTGTCCAAGTCAAGAGAATCACTCTGTAGATTTTCGCTCTGAAAATTTGGTTATTATGCACAGAAATGGTAAAGTCTGAGCAACTCCTGGATGAACAGGAGTTTAAGACACAACAAACAAAGAATCATTTATTGCTAGGTCTCAACAAGGAATCTGAAATTCCATACCGCCCCGATGCCTCTAACAATGCAACTAAAAGCATCGCTTGGATTACCATTTCATTCGTACCTTTCATTCTGCACATGGGCACGCTGCAGCTTCTGGACATCGAGGAGACGAGGCAAGGGAGTGTGCTCAGCCCTCACCCTGACCAGGTTTGAGGCAGCCTGGCCCCCGGCCCCTGCATACAACTGCTTGGTGCCAGCATGCTCTATGGAGCAGGGAGGCAACTTGAGGAGTCAGTTCAAGAAGAAAACAGGAGAAAACACTTCAAGTATTTACAGACAGATTGGAAGTATGCTGTTTTGAAACGGTATTGCTATTTACACTGTTTTTTCTTGAAGCTGTTGTGGAATAAAGTCAGTTAAAGTGGCAAATAAAAGTGTTGTATTGGGGAAAAAAAAAAAGCATGATGCAGATTTACTTCAAACCCATGCTTCTAGCGGCAAGAACACTTTAAAACACATTTTCTTTGTAAATTTGGAGGGACCAAAAGCTTTCTGTCTCCAAACTTCTAGCTGTAGGCAATTTTTACAATACAACAAAAAGGCAAATATGTATTTTGAGTTGATTTCAATACAACTTTGGTTAGCCAGCCAGGCAGCAATACAAAGCTGCAAAGAAGCCCTGTGGGGAAGGTCTTAGCCCTGTGAAGGACTTGGGTGTCCTGGTGGAGGAAAAGCTGGACACGAGCTAGCAGTGAGCTCTTGCAGCCCAGAACAACAGTATCCTGGGCTCCATCAAAAGAGGGCTGGCCAACAGGGACAGGAGGGGATTGTCCCCCTCTGTTCTGCCCTTGTGAGGCCCCACCTGGAGTAGTGTGTCCAGGCCCAGAGCCTACAGCACAAGAAAAATGCAAAACCGTTGGAGTGGGTCCAGTGTATTGCCACAAGATGATCAGAGGGCTGAAGCGACTCTCCTATGAATAAAGGTTGAGAGAGTTGGGCTTGTTCAGCTTGGAGGAGAGAAGGCTCCAGGGAGACCTCACTGCAGCCTTCCAGTACCTGACAGGTGTTTACAAGCAGGAGGGGAACAAATTTTTACACGGTCTGATAGCGATAGGACAAGAGGTAATGGCTTTAAACTAAAAGACAGGAGATTTAGGTTAGTTAATAGGAAGAAATTCTTTACTAAGAGGGACACTGGAACACGTCGTCCAGAGAGGTTGCAGATGCTCCATCCCTTGAGACGTTCAAGGACAGGTTGGAAGGGGGACCTGGGCAGCTGAGCTGATGGGTGGCAGCCCTGCTCATGGCAGCAGGGTTGGAACTAGGTGATCTTTAAGGTTTCACTCCAACCTAACCCATTCTATGATTCTATGATGAAGAATCTCAATCCTAGGCACAGTGAGTGTTTAAAGGAAAGCAGCATTTCCTCTCAAGCTTTCTCCGATCCCTCCTCTTGCCAATTCTGTTTCTATTCTGGAGAAGCACCTGTGCTAGACTGAAGTTTTCACAGCTGAAGGCAGCATCAATGCTTTGCCACATGAATACTGCATAGAAAGGATGAATTTCCCGGTGCAGTGTCAAGAGACAATTCCATACATAATGAGAGACCAGAATTTTTGCTGCCAAAATCCCTAGACAAACAAGATCCCCAATGGTAACAGACTACTTCAGACTACGCTAGCTAAATAAGCATCAGAGCCCTTGCATTTAAATAACAGGAAAAAGGAAACCCAAAGTTAGGACTGGCAAAGCATCTCCAAAAAGTTTTATTTTAGTCCCCCTCTGACATGACGTGCATTCTCTGAACTCAATAGCTCCCTTGCTATTAGCAAATAAAATGGACCAGAACCCAATCGTGGATCTCAAGGACACCCAGCACACCTCACATCGGCCTGGTCAAACTCCAGACCAAGAGACCAACTCTGCTGCTCCCTAGACCATGGCTCGGTTCCACCCACCTTGCTTCCTGGGAACAGTCACTGCTTCCTCAGAGCTAGGCCTGCACCAGAGCCATACATGTGCCCAAGCCAACAGCACAGCAGGGAGGGGCTCCTCGAGGGGCCCAGGTTCCAGTACTGCTAAAGTTCCCAGTACAGATGTAAGCAAATGCATAGTTAGGCCTTGGGGCCAGTTACAAAGCAGTGAGTGGTGAGGAAAGGAGCTAGTACCTCTTGTCAATGACAAACTGGAGTCTTTAATACCATGATGAACTCAGTGGTATTCAACAAATCTGGCTAACACTAGCGAGGACACATCTGCATCCTATTTAAGCTCAGAAACACATCAGCAACATGCACGTGTGCATGAGTCATTAAATGTCTCCTAAATCATACCACACCTTTAAACACACAAAGCATACCTGCTATAAACAACACAAGGTGACCAACCAGCTCAGGAGGAAATGAGATTCTGTGGGCATAAGCACTGTCCTATGCTGGCTGCTACATCTAAGTCCGAGCAAGTCATGACACCCCAGCTGTACAGTTTGCAATTTGCTCTCCTGATTTCACCAGCACAGACGCTTCTGCCCTGCTTGGGCATGCACATAGTGGCTCGATCCTGCAGTCTTTTTATTTACACAAAGGTTAGGAATGCATGAATTGCTATAAGAGGTTTGGAAAGTGAAGGTGATGGGCTGCTCTGGGCTACAGTAAAGGTCAAATGCTAACATATTATGCATAAAAATAAGTAAGCAGTGCTAAGCCAGAATGAGACAACTGGCAGAAGATCAGTAGCAAGTTTGCAATTAAGAGGTTTTAGCTGTACTTTTGTACATAAGATCTGCTTCTGAAATCACTGCACATTTCTGTGCCTTTCTACAGGCCAGTTCTATTCTGGTCTATGCATACATGATGTTCATGCAGCAAACTTATGAATGCAGATTCAATCACGCTTGTTTTGCAAGGAAAAAAAAAACACAAAAAACATTCCAAGCAGGTAAGCATGGGAACATGGCAGGTACTCATCTGTATTCAAAGAACACTATTTTCTCAGGGATGGCAACTTGCAGAAATATTTAACATCAAGATTGTAGTTCCATGGACAGAGAGACCATTCACTTTTTCACCCAGAATTAACAAGCCAAGCAATAACAAAGAGAGGTACTTGATATTTAAAATTTGCCCCTTTAACAAATGAATGTTTTGACATAATGAGGGTCAAAACCAACTGATTTGAATTTGCATGTGCCTACCAACAAGCACATGTATCTGACCATTACTCTAATTTAATCCAACTGCAGTTAAAATATTTTAGGGCACTAATTAAAATGCATTCAGAAGAAGTTACTGATCTGTTCTAAAAATCAATACATTAACACAGAAGAGTAAGATCATGAATTCTTGAGTTTTTCTATAGGGATATGTTTTGGCTCACTGCCTTCAGGTACCACATCTAGTTGGGCCTTACTCTCTGGTTAGAAGCTGATGATTTCTATTATTGCAGGACAAAAAATGCGTCCTGGCTTCAGCATGGAAACATAACATGAAATTTGCCCAGGCAACAGAAAGCTCCCTTTACAAATATGTTTGGTTTAATGAGTCTGTTTTGTTGAGGAAAAAAAGGCAAAATGAGCCACCCATTTTTGCCCCTGTGCTGTATTTTCTCCTAATGCTCCCATGACGTGCCCTGAAAGATGCTCTTTGTCCTTCAGAAAGGACAGAGAGGCAGGTGAATGGTCACTGCAGGCAGCGCTCTGCTCTGTGGCTGTGATGCTGCTACAGCATCTGTGGCTCTGACTGCCAGAGGGTACTGGGCATGCAGTGTTCAGGATGGGCTCTACAGGCTTTCCTGAGGACCTCCACAAATCCCTCCTTCATGACTATGAAGGCAGGGGATCTTGGGACCCTGGAGTTATATAGACATTTTTTAGAGCTCTGCCAATGACAAGAACTCAGCAATGGACTACCAGTAATCAATCCTACTTCTGACTTCCCACACTTCGATTCAAAAGGCCTTATGCCTCCTTTCCATCTCTGAGCTCACTTTTGGCTGCTACTTTTGCCTGGCATCTATTGCAGCAAGTTTTTGTAACTGGGCAGTTTTGAGTTTGCACATCTCAATGAAGCTACAGTCCCTTCCACTTTGACATTTACATTTTCATAGCCTGCTGCAAATGAAACAGGTGAACTTAAGCACTGCAAGCATTTCCTGATGCATGGTTCAAACTCTCACTTGGCCCCTTCTTATGTGTGGCAGTCACTGCTCCTGTTTCTTTGCACCTCACCAATGTTTTATTTCAAAGGCATCCTGCAGTACTATCACCTTCCCACACAGATCTGACTCCAAGAATAGCACAGCACATTTTCAGATGATGGTAACAACAACAGAGGAAACGTAATGGGTTTCCTCTGGGCAGAGCAAGGCAAATGGAAGGGCTGAGCTACCAGGCTGCTCAGACTGTACTTGTGGCTGTGAGGGGCTGAAGCCATAGAGGACAGGGTTTGTGTAGCGAGCTGCATTTCACATAAGAAAGCTGCACGACCCCAAGTCGTGCTACTGACTGCAGCTATCTGACTACAAAAGCAACTTTTGAAATCTACAGATCATAAATTTTTAGTTGGCTGGGTCAGAGTGGCTCAGTAGGAAAATTCCCCTTCTCCTTTCCCTTTGGGCACTGAGCTAAGAAGCTCTTTTCTCTGAAAGTAAGGTGGAAAACATACCCACATTATAGGTAGTCACGAAGACACTTAATAAAAACAAGCTACAAGGGTAGTGTATTAGTGGCACTTCACAGCAATTCTTAACATTTTCAGATGTAGTGTCAAAACCATGTTTTTCTATCTCTGACCATGCTTATTGTTAGCAGAAAAGGAAAAAAAAAATCACAGCATGTTGTCAAATATTACTTGAAGAAATACTCCCATAAGAAATACATTTTTTTGCAGTTAACTCAAAACTGTAAACTGAATTGGTGTGTGTGTCTTTCAGCATCAAATTGTTCAGTAATAAATATGACTAAGTCTTAATAGAGTACAGAGTGAAAGTTCCCTTAGTGTCCAGTTTTTAGCAGCTGTTGAACATTCAGGGATGCACAAGGCACACCTCTGCAGATTCTCTACCATTATTATTGACATACAAAAAAAACCCATCGCTCACCACTCAAAAACTTTTATCTGCATAGTTAAGAATTTTTCTACTACTATTTACAGGAAGGGCTCTTAGTGCAAAAAACAGGAAGTGATGTATTAGCTGAAGTGCCTCTAGCACACCTCATACAGTTCCACTAAAAACTAGTCAGCATCACATCTTGGGCCGCCAGCCATTAATGAACTGTAGTATTTTCTTAACCTGCAATTTGCTTAGCTTAAAGTCTTCTGACAGGATTTCTTCCGTTAGCTGAACCAGTAAATTGCCATCAATCTTCTCTGTAACAAAAAATGAGATGACATCTTCTGACAGACCAATAAACCTCAGCGATTTAGACACTTCCTCTATTGAGAGTCCAGAAAGGTCTGTGGGTGGCTGCCAGGGAGAGCCATCCCCACAAGACCTTGGTGCTAACTGGAGGTGGAGGGGAGATGAGAAGGGATAAGACACAGAGAATGTATCCTGCATGCCCTTTTTAACCAGATATTGATCTTCCAGGAGGTCTGGAGAATCAGTTTTTGATTCCTCCTCGGCACCATCTATTTTTAGTGGCAAAGTACACACGTCTGTAACTTGTTTCTCTTCGCTTGACTTTGGTGCCCGAGGAGGTAAGGCAGGACATGAATGACTCTGCTTTGCATTGCTGTCTCCCAGAGTTTTCTCATCAGTGCAGCTTAGAGAGTAACTTGCTGACTTCGGACAGTTGGAGATGTTGCTGAACTCTGCTGGGGACAGCTGGGAGTACCCCGCAGGGAGCTCACACCCATCGAAGTCAAAAGTCAAAGGTGCTGGACAGTTCCTCTTTGGCGTGCCTGGAGTCTTCTGTCTGGGGTAACTGTAGCTCCTGCTTGGATCAAGCAGGAAATCACTCTTATTCTGGCCTTCCGTAGTTCCTGAAAAATGGTTTGGCCAAGATAATCTGGAAGGCAGAGCTTCAATTGAGGGGCTTCCAAAAGGCATTGTGTTCTCAGGCTCTTTGGATTCGGTTTTCATCACGGTACAAGGGTAGCATGAAACAGGTGTGCTGCTCTCAGCTGGGTTCACGCTGTCACTCTCTGTGACGTTGCTTAAGGAACAAAGCAGAAAGGATTTGGTTAGCACCAAAGTAAAACATGAAAAAATTCATAAATCATCTTACAAAATCAGAAAGTCGTTGTCATAAGGAAAGAATCTTTTTTTCTGCTGTCAGAATGTTTCAGATTTGAATTAACAATACAAACGTTGATGGTTCTTTTTCTACAAGCCTGATGAGATGCTGATATACCCAAAAACCTCAAGAGATAGATTCACGTTTTGCTACTTTAAGCTCAGAGAAAAAAAAAACCAAACAGATGTCTCAATTCAGTTTTGTGTCATCTCCCAAATATTCAGATTTTCACTGTTAAATTCCTGAGGGACATCATCATGGTAAACTTGGTAAGCTTCATGCATATTAGAAGATTTTCTAATCCTGTATTTTATTTTTAAACACCACAGATGCATCACAGTATGTAAAAACTTGTAACAGAGGCAGGTCACCATTGCAGTACTTACAAGCTTGGTAGACATAAGAGATGATGAAAAGCCCTTTTGGGGCCAGTATTTTCATTTGCTATGGCACTGCACCAGTGTACAATACAATAACACAGAACAAATTATTGCTTACTGCCAAAGGACGATTTTTACCTGGAAGGGTAAGTAGACAGAGCTGTATTCGTTGAAATACCAGGTTTTAAACTTAAGCCACAGTAAACTGCTTATTCATATCTTTAAAAAGTTCTGACACAAAGTCCTTGCTTTTCAAAGGCACCTAAAGAAAAGTTACCCTGACCTACTTCCAGGCAGTAAATCAAACTCAGCTTGTCCAAGGAAACTGACTGTTTATATCCAGGCCTTTCCAAAAGACTGAGATGCTAACAAATACATACAATCTGTTACCAGAAGTGAATGTTCTCTGCTTTTATGCCACTTTCTAAAAGAGAGTCTAAAGGATTTGGCCGATGTTCGGAATTCTGGCCAATTAAGCTAGAACACTGCAAAAACAATTAGCAGACTTATAAAATCCTTACCTAATACAGCAGAGGGAAACCAACAGTTGAAATAATTGTTTTAATTACTCACCTCTCTCTTAGAAACTAATTACTCAAGAAAGAAAATAGGCAGTAATTCTATGGCAGCTCAATGAAAACTGTTTGAGGAGGGAGGCAGCTTTTGAATAGGCCACGGTTTTGAATAGACTGCCACAAAAAATTACTTCCCATGCATTTGCAGTGAGTTAAAAAGGAAGCCAACCTAGATTTGCTTAGCAAAAAGTAGATGTATAAATGCAGTTCTAATCTACATCACTGAAAAATCACAGTTCCATCAGTTTCTCTCTCTAACAACTTGCTCTCCCACTCAATGATCTCCAAATATTATTTTTTTTTCTGCACAAAGCTGCCAGTAAAAACAGTTGGATTATAACAATGCCACACTTTAAAAAAACCAAGAAAACAAAAACAACAACAAAAACACTCTCATCAAGGATATACCTTCAACTGGTCATTTTACTCAAAAACATTTTTCCAAAAATCTAGACACTGGGCTGTCTAATTCAGAGTAGACAGTCAACAAGGTGTTATGAACAACTGACCATACAGAGAATTACACTGACTGATCCCGCCTCTGTTCTCTAATCCAATGTTAGAAATATGAACATTTAAAAGATTAACATTTTAGAAGTTCAAAAGATTAACAGAATTAACAAAAACTGATAAAATATTCACAAACCATTTCCTTACTCATACTGCACTAAAATTAACCTGCCAAGACTCAGAGCCAAAGGATACAAGAAAAACCTCCAATTTACAGGGTTTAATAGGCCAAAAAGGAGAAATCATATTGTTCTTGTTTGTTGAAAAACTACTTGCAACCCTTCATGATACAGAAAATAAGATCAAAATGTCAAAACTTGAAAAGTAACTTCAACCAATAATGATTACTTGTCTACTTTCCACCAGCTTCCTCAGCAGCTCCAGATCAATGACATCAAATTGGAGATACCCGGTATGGACTGAAGATGTAGATTAATTTCACATGAATTTTGTGAATTTCCAGGCAAATAAGTCACCTGCATGAGAAACTACTCACTGTTTTCTTGCTTTCCTGGGAGACACATACATTGTTAGCTATCATGAAAGAAAACAGCATTCGGTGGGCCCCAAATTCTGGGAGGTCTTGTGCTTAATCTCCTACAGAGTAGACCTTTACAGATCTATCCAATAGGCTTCCAGAAAAATAAATGAGCAGCCTTGATCTAGAGCAATCATTGCCAGATACACAACACTAAGCTGAAAATGTGCAGTATGGCTTAGAAAGGCAACTCCAGGAATTGTAATACCATTGCATCTACACAGAAACAATTTCAGTGGCATTTCTGATCAATCCATAATACTCAGGCAGTACGTTGGAACTTTTTTAGCAACGAAGTTGAAGAGGCACAAAAAAATCATGGCAGCAAGACATCCAAGTCAAAAAGGAGGTAAAATTTCAAACGACATACACAGTTTCTAAAGCCAAAGGAAGAACATTGCATTGCAAAGAAAAGGTATGCAGCCAGGTAGTTCAAAATCCAATGTCAACTTCTGACTAGTCTAAACAGATTTTCCAGTCTGTGGTCTAAGTCTGTACTGAAGTGGGTTTGATCCACAAGCTGCCTGGATCCATTCTGTCTTTTTCTCACTTCACGCTCAGTGGTGTCTTCCAGCTTCACTGCTTTCCATCATACTCACCTGTAGGTTCACATTTGATTGGCACACAACATTTCCGGATTACCACACCCTTCTATGCCCCCAGTTATCAAGAGCAGGTAGCGCTACATACACGTGAGACTGAAATTCCACTTGAAAACTAGCTTTGAGATTATCTGGTTTGAAGATTCAAGCCATTTAAGAATTATACAGAACTGTACAGGATTTTCCAGTCAAACAGTTTCTGCCATCTTACGGTGAGATTACCTATAGCAGTAGGTATTTAAAACAAATTGCTATGTCCTATATAATAACATACATGTTGTGCAGTCCTGAAGAATAGTAGGACAGAGTAGGGCTAGGAGAGCGCGTCTGCTGTCGTGCGGGTTTGACTGTGCGAGGAGGGATGGAAGGACTAGTGGAAGATGGTTTTGAACTCCGTGGTGGGACAGGGGGAGCGTTCAGGAGCCTGCATTCCTCTTTTACCTGTTAAAAAAAGGACATATAAGTAAGCAGCCAGAAAACTCAGGCAACAGGCAACAGTGCTCTCCAACAGATGAAACACATCTGGTTCAGCCTTATTCTGTGAAAGGAAATAATTTAAAAGGGAGGGGAAGAGAGAAATGATGCTAAGTATATACATTTGTAACAGTATGTGCCTGTCATAAGAAAGACAAAAGAATGCTTTGCTACCAGTAGAGCTACTACCAATCTTTTAGGGGTGCTCTGCAGCAGTTTGAGATCCACTCATTTAAAAAGAAGGAGCAATGAAACTATATAAAAGAACCTTCCAGTTACGTACAAAACCAGACAGACTGTTCCAGATATTTTATATTCTGTAAGAAGCAATTCATTAGGATCAAACTCCATTAGTGTTGTTTATTTAGATGTAATAAACCAAGCTTATGTAATGAAAAGATCTTAGCAGACTTCAATGTTTCCTGACTTACTTCACCAGTGATACTCACCATCCAGTTCCAGGATAATTCCCTGCTTCCCCCCTCAAGGAACAGTATACACATTGTAGATTTACCAGATGCTCCCAGGACATAACTATCTGCAGGAAAGCACTGAACAGAACTGACCTCAGTGGCCACTGCTTCATCTCTTCCACAGCACCACTGGCCTTGCTCCTTCTCCTCAGTATATTTCATGGTATATATACTTCTAATGCCAGACTTGATAAGGCAGATTTGCAGAGCTGTATTTCAATAGGTAAATTATAAACAAAAAATCCCCTTCCCTCCTTTTTTTTTCTCTCCATCCTGGGTGTACAAACTATGAATGGACCACAACCTGAGTTCAGACTGGGAGACTGGAATGCCATCTGTATGCTGGAATTCAAATATGGAGCTTCAGTCCTTATGTCAAAGTAGTCCAGGGTATGGCTAACTACAAAATGTATAAGGTAAAAAGTGTGGAGCAGAAAAAGCTGTTAAAATAATGCATCGATGTAGATGCCAAGCAGAAGGACCTCTTGTTACCAGCCACACAAATCTTGCTTCTAGGATCAGAGTAGCAGCAGACAGGTAATGCAAATGAAATGGGTGTGGGACTACAAGGATAGATCTGGGCATAATGCAAAATCCACTTCTGAGTTGCGTTACAAAAATAAAGCATGTCTTCTTTAGCCTGTTTCCTCAGAGCTGACTTTGATATTAAACACTAGGAACAAAGCCAACATGTCTACTCACCGCAGTCAGCTAACTTTACAGCTTAAAACGCATGATAGTAGCACTGTTTATGTAAAATTTAGCTTGGTCCTGCCTAGGGAGGAGCAACATACCAAGATAAAGCTCCATTAGAAAAATGATGGAGCTAAGACCTTAATCTCATCAAGACATACAAGGGAGAGCAACTTGGTGGGGCTAGAGATGTGTGAGGCTGCTGAGAACAAGGCTGCCAGGCAAGCCTTTTGAGGACTCATCGCTTCCCCAAGGCAGCAGATCTCCATGTTGTCCTCATTTGAAATCATCTCAGATGCCACAGAATAGGAAAATTCTCTTTGTGTTTGAAACTTAGTTTATTTTTAAATTTACCAACACTGCAGAACTAAAAGTTATCTTAGCAGTTTTGCAACACATAATTAGCAATTAAAGTGATTTAATTTATTTAAAAACAAAATAAATGTGGAACCTTTTGCAATCCACTTCAGTGCATTCAAAATGCAACAACCCATTTAGTACTAAAGTAAAATGGAAAATCGGGGACTGGGACATTGTAGTACATTTTTCCCTAATTCAGAACAAGACAAAATTACAGGAAATGCCTGACAGCATAAAATACTGAAATAAATCTTGCTCTAAGGGTTCTTATTTGCTCTTTCAGGAAAAAAAAGGAATCAATTTTATTCATGTTTGTTATTGAATTCAGGCATAAAACTCTTCAACCATTTTAGTGCTGTGCCCCAAGGATGCATAAGGACTTCATTTTTTTTCCCCAAGTCAGAGTAGGCAAAGTTAATACTGCATGCCATGGAACACACACCCATGGGGGTCAGAGACCATTCAGGGGAGCTTTTAGGGCACAGCAGACAGTCATGGGGTTAAAGAAATTCTTTCCTGGGAAGAATACCAGCATTCAAAGGTACTGGCAGAGCTAACTACACCCAGCTCCTCTCCTGACCTAGATTGCAGATCAGAAGTGGGCCGTAAATAATACCAGTTTGCAATCCCAGTTGGTCCCTGTCACAAGACTGCGATTACAGCTGCCAGGCACAGCTCTCGGGAAACACAGCAGAGGAACAAAAAGGAGATTTTGCACATTAAACCGACAGCATCATGGGGAAACTTCGCAGGAGATCTGTGCTCGTGGGGAGAACAGCAATGAAACAGTATGGGAGAAGAGGGGAAGAGTGGCAGTGTGACACAGCGTCTGCCTTGGTGACTGCTGCTGTTACACAGAAACACTCTTTCACCCAGCAATGCTAGATGCCACACGGCTGCCAGGGAGAGATAAAGTGCACTTGCAATGAGAGCCCTGGGACATCTCCTCCCCCACTCAAACACTCCTTCCCATAGTAAGCCTGGTAACGGTGACCCTTTCCTTGCATGAGGTGCTGCAAGGATTTTAGGAAACCCTGCAACTCATCTCTCCTGGGGTGATACCACCCATGCAAACGCCCCCAGACCTGGTGCCCACCCAACCCCCCCGCTACGAGCACTTCCACCAGTGTAACACAGCCTGCAGGAGCGCCAGCCTCTGGCACGCTCCATCTGGGCATGCTGTAAATCAATCAGGAAAACAGCCCCTGATATTATGCAAATTAGCGTTCTGGGACCAAAGCAATTTCTGATTTACAGGCCTTAATTCAGAGGTCATTTTCTTTCTCTTTTCCCTTCATGCTACTTTGATTTTCTGAAAGGTATTTAGAAAATACAGACTGCATCAGAATATTTTGCCTTGTGGGTGAGAAGAAAGACAGAAGAGCTTCTGAAACACCTGAATGTCCTTTTCTCCTACAACCAGCTCCTACACACACACTTTAAATTTAGTGCATGCAAAAACACAATTGCTTGCCAACCTTTATACAGAAACACTATGGAATATCATTCCAGGGGATGTGATGACTAAACCTCATGTTCACCAGCAGCTACCGAGATCCACTTATTCTATAAATACCCTACATGGAAAGCATGCAAGCATCTCGGCCAGCCCCAGCCCACTGATGAGCTCGGCCGGTCACTGAGACTCATTCCAAAGCTGTTCCAGGAAGCCACAAAACTGATTCTAAATCATTATCCCATCTACAGAGAGGCAATTTTTTATTTTTATTTTTCACGAGATTACACCCTGCCCAGCTCGAAATGCAATCTAATAGCTTTAGCAGAAATGAGTTCTCCTGCATGGTTAGGAAGCCACGCTGAAATTGCTGACAGCACGCGGGTGCATTACCTCAGCCCTGGTATGATGGACATGACAAAAATGCACGCTAAAAGGCAAAAGACACACAGGTCCCCCAGAGGCCAATCTGCTGTCCCCAGAAGGGACTCTATTCCATGAGGGTCCCCGAGACATGACACAGTGGACAGGTGTGCCCATTCCGCTCAGCGCCCAGGCCGAGTGGGCCTCAGGACATGGCATTCCCTTCCCCCTTGGCCACTGTGACAGCAGTCTTCCTCCTCACCCTCCCCCTGCCTCGGCTCCAGCCCTGCACTGAAGCGGTCTGGCTCACAGAAATCAGCAGGAAACTAATCGTTTTCCACATCCAGACCTGGCTCCCTGCCCAGGCACAGGAGTGCCAGAGCCAGCACAAAAGGAAAGCCAAGCCCATGTGGCTGGGAGAGGAGAAGGGTGGGAGCAGCCCCATGCCGGTTTACATTAGTGCAGCTCATCCCGATACAGTGCAGTGGGCACTTCTCCAACACACTTTGGACAAAGCTTCGGTGCATACCTGACCCTGACAGCAAGGAAGTGCTCATGGGTTCCAGCACTCAGACATAACACGTAAACACTCCTTGTGCTAAGACGACGTAATGTCTTGACTTTCCTGTCTTTGCTGAAGCTGCTGTGGCTGCTTTTTGGGAAAGTTTTGAAGGGCTGCAGTTGTGCTTTTCACACCTGTGTCGGCATATGCCTTCTCTCTTCTCACAGCACCTCCCTAGCGGCTGCGTAGCAGCACATCAATCCACTGAAAGCTGACCCAGCAGAAAGAAATCAATCATAGTTGTCAACCAGGCTGTGACCTGACTCATGATGAAAAGGCTCCTGACAACGCTGCTGAGACAGGAAGAGGGCAATGGCAGAGGGATCACCACCATGTGCCGCAGTTTGGTCTCGGATGAGCCCCAGCTTGCTGTGCAGCCATGGTTTTGAAAACACTGCTCAACTTGCAAGGACATTTTCCTTAATTAAATTTCATTTTTAAAAACCTGCAAAAATAATTAACTGATTTGTTAAATAATAACATAATCAACTATGTATCATTTAATCTTGCTAAAGTTCCCTACCCACTCTTCCCTGGGCAAGTTTTATTTTTTCCTGTTTTTTTAAATAACGTGTAGGACTACCTCAAGGGACCATGTAATAGGTGGACTTTCCATCCAACCCACATAAGCTCCTGTAGAAAAAATATGTTTGTAATTTTGTTGCTGAAGTCAATTCAAACAGTTCAGGTTTGGAAAAGTGATTTCTCCCAAGAGTTTTCATCAGAAACCCTCAGACAGAATTCACTCTGTTTAAAATTGAGTCTTCTAAAAAGCTCATTTCTAAACTCTGCTGCAGAGTTTATATTTAAGCATAAATTCTTTCAATAAACACTACCAAAACAGAGCTAAATAATCACTCCATGAAGTCTGGTTGAAGGTGATGAACCTAATAGTCCCCAGAATTTGCCATGGAGTTGCATCAGAAAATATGATCTCTCATTAAAAAAATATTTCAAATGTAAAAATTCTAGCTGCCCTTAATATTAGGACCTGTTAATGGAAGACACACACACTAAGGTGACCTGTGGTAGTTCTGAGTGGGTTTGTATCCCACACACTTCAGCCATAGAAAATATGAGAAAACAGAGCATATGTGGAGAGATGATGTCACCTGAAGTATCAGGATTAAGCTAATAGATCAGTTACATTAAATATACTTAGATGATTTTTAGGATGTGACTTACAGTTGCTGTGAGGTTAGGTGAAGTTGCACACCTCTTCTCCCTATTCCCCTGCATGTGCTCTACCCCCTCCAAAGTCTTCCCCCTAAAGAATTCCCAAGCAAACTCTTCATCTGCTGAAAAAGAAACAAACCAACATAAGCAACCCTGACTTACTGCTTCTGATTTGGGAGGCACTGGAGGTGGAGGTAGGGAAACATCTGCAGACTTTGTTGCTGCATCGACTGTCCCAGGCACAGGAAGAGACGTACTACCACACTTTGATCGGAAGGATCCTCTGTAATTGTCACATTTGTTCTTCTCACTTAGCGAGCGAGTGAGAGGCTGCTCACCAGGCTTTCCAGACCCTTGGTCCAACCACAGCTCTTCGTAAGGAAGTTCTGGTTTTGTAGGCAGAAACATGGACTCTTCACCAACCTCAGGAAAAAGGTAATCACTGCTACTGTCACCAGAATCCTGGTACTGAAGCACATCGTGAGAAAACAGAGCCCACTCGTTACACAGGTCCCTGCAGCCGTGGAGGTTCACTTCGCTATTGCCATGCAAATTGTTGCCATAAACACACACCGACAGCCGGTGGAAGGACTGCGTGAGCTCGTCCCGTGCATAGCTGAGGGAGTTGGGCACGTGAGTGTGCCCGCTGCACCGGCTCTTCTTTGGGCTCTTGCAGTCTTCATTCCAGTCTGTTTTCACATCGCGCACGGCCCGGGAATACTCGTCTATGTCAAACTGTTCTTGGCATATATTAAACCAATGCTGGATGAGGGATTCGTGCCACAGCTCCCCCTTCACAAGACTGTCAGGTAGAGTAAATTTTGGAAGTGTCAAGTGCAAGGGAAAATGCATCGGAATAATTTTGTTGCCACGAAGCACACAACAAACCACCACAGTCTTGGTCTGAATGTTGACAAACTTGTACCTGTGCCCTTCACGGATAAAATGCAGGTCGTAGGGGTTTCTTGGCGTAGGGCTTGGCACAGTCACATTAACAGGCAGCCGAGTTTTTTCTACTATGTTACGAATTGTGTGCTCACCTTCTTGCATCTGCACCTCCAACGGGCTGCGGGTGCTAAACTTGCCCTTACACTGGAATGGAAGGCTGATGCTTTCATTGGTCCTGTGGTTCATGCAGATGAGGCAGGGCATTTTGCCTCTGCCAAGTTTGCTAATTGAATTAAGTTTACCAATTTTTTTGAAGATAGTGTTGAGTCGTGACTTCTCCTTAGAAGATTTTGCATAAAGGATTTCTGCTTGTCCCATTAAAGTGAGTTCATCCCCAGTACTAAGGGTAATGTTGTAAACTTCAGTGTCTTCATTGCATTCACCTGAAGCTACCTGCAAAACAGTAATGAAATAAATTGTTTTTACCTTGCTGAAAACAACATCACAAATTATATCAAACCTAATGAGATTGGACTTGAAGGCGGTACTTTGGGAGAAACAACACTATTTTCATTTGAACAGCTGAGTATTCAGACACGTGAGGTTTAATGTAAAGCTCAGTCAAGTAACCTTTTTCACTGTTCTGTGTATTCTTTCATCTTATTAGAGGGGAAGCAGCCACTTGGGAATGACAAAGAAGGCATGAGAACAAATATAACAAGTTTTAAAATAAAGGACAACTCCCAGAAATTCAAATAGCCAGTTGTGTCACAAAGCTATGACAGAGCCTGTCTGGATTTGCTTGGGTATCTTCTCTTCACTCCTTGTTTTTGCTGTAACTTATTTGTGAGGCTCTTGAAGGAAGCAAACATTCTTCTTCCAGCTTCATCTCCCTGAGGAGCTGAAAAGGTGATCTCATCATTATGAATGAAACATCCCTTTCATATAACCTCTTCACAGCTACGGTGAATGACAGATGACATCTATTCCCTGGAGGAAAAGTGAAGAATATTGGTCTATCCCACATGCCCAACTCCCTCTCTGCCTTTAGACTTCCTTCCTCATTTTTTGATCATAATTGCAATTTAAGATATTAAACAACATATGCAAAGCCATGTGTGTGCTTTTCTACTATAGAAATTGTACTGGAATTTAAAAAAAAAAAAAAAAAAAAAGCAAAACAGATGTCCAAGGCTCATTTATTCCTGAAGTTATTTCCTTAAGACTGGAATAACTCTTTACGCGCAAGACTGCTCTGCTTTCTATTTGAGTGCCTTAATGTGAAAGGCCTTTTTCAGGGACCAACCAGAACTTAATGAGCTCTTCTTCAGCAGTAGCAGATACTTATTCTTAAAGGAAGGTGCCTCAGCTAACCACTGCAGGCCTGCTACAGACCACTTTGTTCAGGAACACTGAACATATTTTTAAAAAACTGCCAGAAATAAGCAAGAATAATATATCCCTGCCTCATCTACTTGACTCCTAAAGATTCCACGTAGCTATGTGAAGTTCACATTCCAGCCTTCAGACTTGGCCATCGTCACAGGACAGCCACTGCATGAAATCAGAGCTGTAATTCCAATTAGTCAGTAATTGAGAAGTGCTGTAAATAATGCTTCCTCTTGTAAGATGTGATCTGCAATTCACTTGTATTTGTAAAGTCATTATTATCTTCTGGAAACCTCTCTCAGCAAATGGCCAGGCAGCTCAGAAGAGGTGTGCCTTCAGAGTGTTTCAGCTCGGCACTTCCTGACAGGAAGCCATTCAAGCCCTGAATTATCCAAACAAACTCTAATTGGCCTAATCCAGGAAACCACTGGGATTTTATTGTACACAGTAGTCACAGTTTATGCTGCTGGCCAGACAATATAATGAAAAGCTGCAACACGAAAAGAAAGCACCCAGATTTTTCTGCTGATAACACCAGAATGATGCTTATTGCTATTTTCTCTTCAGAATCAATGAGTGCTACGTTTGTACTGCTGCTGGTGAGGCCCTGACCTGTGAGGAGCTGAGTAGGCTGAAGACACAGAACTCTGTGCATGTCCCATTCAGTCCATCGCATCTCTTCTCAAAAAGGCACATCCTATAAGAACGTGGGTTTCTAGTAACTACAAATCCCCATAAAGGACTTCTTTGGGCAACACTGTCAGACATTTTAATGTGAGACAGCAGTGTTACAGCTTCTTCTTACCTCCTGCACAGTGGGGACAGAAGCGAGGGAGCTGTTGTAATCCATGACTGCAGGAGCTGCTGTTTTGACAACCTGCAGCTTCTGAGTGATTTGTGAAGAGCCTATTCTGAAGGACAACATGGCCATCAGATGTGCAACCACAGGAGGTACTGAGCCAGCACAGTGACACAGCGAGCCATGGTTATGAAAGCAGTTGCTTATTAGTGGCATTGACTTCAACCAATAGCACAAGGATTGTGACATCAGATAGTAATTTTTAAAGACAAAATTACTCTAAATTAAAAAAAAATAAAATTGGAAAATGTTATTTTCTTTGCTTGGAATATAATAGCAGTGTAATAATAGACAAAATATGGCTGAATCAAAAGAAAAACTATGCTGCTATTCTATTTTGACACTGAGAAAAACGATGTGTGTGTCTCCTGAGCAAATATCTGTAAGGTACCAGTTGCTGTCTAAAATGGTAATGAATTGAAACGGTGAAACCAGAAGTCTTAGACTGCACAACTGATTTCATTTCACAAAACCTTACTCTGGAGAAGTTAAGGCTGCAAGTACACCTAGGCAGGTCAAGTATATTTTAAATTTTAAGTTCTTAAAGTCGAGATAGCTAACTCCTCTCTTGCATGAGGTTAATTCAGTTATTTATTTACCTACTACTTAACATTCGTAACAAGTACATGGCAGGTAAATATTTGGGTGCAGAACATCAGCAACAAACACATACCTTGACCCACTGGCTCTACTCTTGCTACTACAGCCCCACATGCTGCTGTCTGCCCTTTCTACATCTCCACATCTGCCTGCCAGTCCTTTTTGCAAGCTGTTTCCTGGCCTGCTGCAGGGCTAATATCATGGCAGGAACAGGGTTCTGTGCTCACTAATGAACCTCAGGGGGCTCCCATCAGCCTGGGAATCACAGAATATCCTGAGCTGGAAGAGACTGACAATGATCATCAAATCCAACTCCTGGCTCCACACAAGACTGCCCAAATTCAAACATTATGTCTGAGTGTGCTGTCCAAATGCTTCTTGAGCTCTGGCACTTGGGGCTGTGACCACAGCCGTGGGCAGACTGTTCCATGCCCACCACCCACTGCTGAAGAGCCTTTTCCTAACACATAATCTGATCCTCCCTCCTGAAGCAGCTCCATGCCGTTCCCTTGGGTTCTGTTGCTGTCACCATAGAGCAGAGCTCAGTGCCATGAGGCCTCCCTCAACCTCCTCTGCTCTGCAAGTGAAGCAGTCAGACACAGATGCCTGCTGGTTAAAAGCTTCTAGGAACAGATTTGATTCATGCCAAAAAACACACTTGAAGACAAAGTGATCTAAGAGAAATCACAAATTATTTCCAAAAAGTGACAGGGATAATACCAAGCCCTCTATCTTCCAAGCTTCCAGCACCAAACCAACAGGATCCATACCTTCAAGCACCACTCCATGTGTTTATACCCCCACCTGAAGCATATAACATACACTGCCTGCTATGAAATCACTGCAGAGATGTAACAGAACCCTACACTATTTCAGACACTTTGAACTACTGGCAGCACATCTCACAACATGCAATTCCTGTATGAAAGAGACAATAGTGCCCTATCTCGGAATGGCAGTTGAAGCAGCCCAGGCTATATATGGATGCAGATATATGGTCTGTTTTTCTGGCAAACTGCTGGAATCTCCTCACGATTCTGGAAAATATGTAGAGTTACAAAAGGCACCAGAAAGCCTTCATTCAGCCGTATAACACACCAGGAGGGCTGACAGGTCCCAGTGTGACTCCAGCCTGCCCTGTGCTTTCCTCTCATCTCCCCTTCCTGCTCTGCCCATGTTGGAACCATGCTCTTCTCATCTCCTCAGTGGCTTCACCAGGCCTGCTCTGAATCTTCAGCTATAAAAACAGTCAGTCTTGCAGCAGGGAGAGAGCTGAAGGAATAGGGAGAAGAGGAGGGAAGGTGAACACATTTTCTTCAAACCTCTCCTCAGTGGGACATTTTTACTATTTTGTGTACGCTCTCTCTTTACATCTTCTGTTTAAAACACAGGTTCCACACTGGACAATTTTAGTGCAACAACCTGCAGCTGTAACTGCCACACCTCTCGATGCCATGATAAACACAAAGTTTTATCTAATTATTAGCCTTGGGAGCATCCTGAAGTAACTCCTTCCCCAAACACATTTCTCTTCTTGTTTGTTCTCTCTTAAAGTGCTGCTTTACACATTAAAACAATCAACCTTGTAGCTTTATTCCACCCTCATCCTTCTGTCACTTTCTCATAATAGGTGAGAATAACCAGTGCTTCTAGCTCTGTGGAAGAAGCAGTGTTTGCCACACTATCCTGCAAAAAAAAAACCCACTAGATGTTCAAACTGAGCATCTCCCTGTGTGAGAGAAGATCCACACAACCAGAAGCAGTCTGCTCCACACTACATCTACTCTCCACCTTTACGCATGCTGATCCATACTAACAGTTCAGTACTGATGCCAGGCTGCTGACCAGAAAGGCTGCTAGTTTGCAGACATCTTGTCAAGCAGGGGGGGTTAAGGCATTCTAATGTTTTCAGCTTGCAATTCAATAACCATTCAGAAGCCAATTATATCTACTGCAGAAGACAGGATCAGGAAAGTGATGAATGATGATTTAGGCAACATGTTCTTTTGGGAAAATTCAAGCATATTGTTTCTTTTGCTTAAGGAAAGGTTAACTCAGAAAAATAGATTCTGATAACACCTGAGTCAATATCCTGTCTTGAGCTCCAATTGTTCTAATTTGTTATAGTTAAGAAGCAGAAGTCCTTAATCACTTGGGCATGTAGGAACTCCTTATAAAAATGATTTGTGGCTTCATACAACTTGTTATACCTGCTAGATCTTATTAGAGCAATGCAAGCATTGCATTGCCAGTAAAAATTCATAGTTAGGACTTTTTTGAACTACTTTCATTTTTTTTTTAAACAGTGAGGCCTCAGATGCATAATTACCGCATACAGATTCTATTATTAAAGCCAGCAGACCAACCAGAATTTTTTTTCCCACAAGGTATAGAAAGTGGATAAAGATTTTTATTTAATATAAAATAGAGTATCCAGAAGAGTTATAAGAAGAAAAAATCATCAAGTTTTTTCAAGGAAGTTAACTATTTTTTCTTTTATAAATGCTAGCCTTACAAGACAGAATAAATAACTATAACTCTTGGTGGTAGTCTACATATGCTCCCCTCTTGGCTTCTTTGCCCTGATTACTACATTAAAAGCTGGCATACCAGGAAGGCCAGCACATGAAGGCACCATGAGGCGATGGAGCTTGCTACCCAGGCTCCCTTCAGAGCAGAAACTCAGTAGGTCTACTTCTCCCTTATGCAAACTGCACCAGACTGGAGGAAAGAGGCAGCCACAGCACTGCAGTACCACTGAGTCACCAAGGTGCCACCTGTATGCTGGGGACAGAGGGGCAAGAGATGACAAACCTTCCTGGACCGAATGAGGTCTGCCTCATGAGGCCACCATAAAGGCCACCATAAAGGGTGTAAAGGGTTCTGAAACTCTTGTTCTCATGATGATGAGTATGATGTATTACCTGCAAACCTGTATGCAGACTGATTTCAGACAAGTTTTTATTGCAGCACTTGAAATTGACAGTATAGGTTACAGCCTTCTAAGTAGGTGCTTTTTGGAAACTCAGGGCAAGTTTACTAGGGTCAATAGAACTGCAGCCAAATCAGGAGATCAATTTTGCTTCACTTACATCAAAGGACCACATCAAACAAATTAGCTATCGAAAGTTCACAACAAAGTCTTTGATAGAAAAGAATCATTACAGGATTAGCTAATTAATACACATTCCCATCCATGGAAATCCTCTGAAAACAGTTTCACAGCCTCTCTAAGGAGATACAGTGATATCTTCAGGGCAAAAACGGTATCTCATTTTTGAATACTTAAATGATCTTGTAACGCTGACTGGGCTGATTTTTGGAAAGCAGGAATTCATGACTTGTCCAATGGTCTACCAGACATATCATTATTTCTACAGGAACTTTTTTGTGAATTATTCTCAGTATAATTTGCTTTTTTTTTTTTTTTTTTTTCTTCTTTTTTTTCCCCCTTAATCCCCAGTCTTAGAGCAAATAGCTTCCTTTGTATTTACATAGACTTCTACCTGCATGGAACCTCTGCATCCAACTGCAGAAACCTATTGCTGCTTCAGCAAAAGCCAGAGCCCTGGAGTAGCAAAACTTTCTTAAAATTTTTCTTCTATGCATAGAGGGGCAGAATATCCTCATCACTGTAATGTAATGCTGTTATATAAACAAAATTATCTGTCATTATGCATTGAAAAGTAATGTGGAAAAGGCAATAAGATATCTGTTCACTGAAGAATAGACAGAATACCCACAATTTTCTACTAGGAACAGGTTAGATTTTGACTATAGATTTTGACTATCCTCAGATCACTCAGATTTACTGTGCCTGCATATGCTGCTGACTACCAGGTACCTGAGGTGACCAACAAGGTATACAAGCACAGATACATACACAGATCAGAAGAAATTAACATAAGTAGTTCTAACCATTACAAAAATTTGGTTTAATCTCAAATTCCTGCTTGCTGTTCTGTGAAAAGTACGCAGGACTCTACCTTCTAGTCCCATCTCTGCTTTTGATGGCATGCCTTACAGCACTCCTTCAAATACAACACAGGCCCTAAATGTTCTGCCTCGGCACACTTCCCAGAAAGCCCACCTAGCTGGGAAACAGTAAGGATGGAAGGGAGATATCTCCTTGGCCTATCTTAGGGTAAAGTGGCTCATTTTCCTCTTTAACAAATGAAAGCATACAAAGTAAAATAAAACCTCCCTCTTAGAAAAGATGTCACGGCACTTCGTCATGACAAAGCAGCAGTTCTCTAAACTTCTCTAAGTTGCAAAACACTGCTTAAGCAGCAAAGGAATTAGTTGGAGGACAAGGTCTGCATGGAGTCAACCGTAGCAGTGGCACATAGCATGCTCAGACAGATCCCAACACAGACACAATCATATAGGAACAGTCCAGTGAAATTCTTTAATGCTACCAGCTCTTTCTTCAAAACTTATCCACAGCAGTGGATTTTTTAGAATAAGAAAAAACTCCCAGACATCACAATTCCTCCTCATCTTAAGTGCTTCATTAGATATTTTAAACATTTTTTCTTTTTGTATCAGATTAACTAACTTCTGATAATCTTAATTTAAGCGAACACACTGCTTTGGACAGAAATCAACTGCATTCTTCCCTTTGCTCAAATCACTTTGACACCATCTCTCTTATAAAATTGTAGCATACGTCATTCTGTTGTGTACAGAAATTAAACAGTTTTACAAGTCCTGCTAATTCATTTTTTAGAAGATGACAACTTTGGAATAGACTTCTATGAACTGGAAAAACAGCCAAAAGAAATACTGCCAAGATATGTTTAACTAGGTTAAACCTGGATTATTATTACTGTTATTTACATTAAAGAGTATGACAAAAATATCTTTTAAAATGTATCTGATATATAACAGTAGGCTATGCTTAATTCTGAGTTTGCTAAATATGACAAAGAGATTTGAGAATTCTGGTGCTAAACCCAAGACATAATGTTTTATATTCTGAAAAGCCTTCTTCCAAAATTATGGCTGCATGTTTCACTGTGCCATGCTCTTCATTTGGACACAGATACACTGAGAAATAATGGCACAGTGGTGGATAAGGCTGGCAGTTCTAAGATAATAATGATCTTCTTGGGTAGAAATGGAATTTTCTTGCTTCCTTCATCGGGCTAACTATATCCTAAAAATTCAAGTGTTTAATCTTTCTCCTGTAGTTTTCATTCATGAAAGGCTCTGTTGCATGGTTTCAGGTTAGTTAATTAATAGCACAAAAGTAAAAAGAACCCAAAACTTACTGTCCTGAAATGCAAGAGTCTGTGTATCTAAATGAATTAACTAATGAGCACTTATAGTAGTCTTCAGCAATCTTGTTTCACACCTATAAAAACTGAGTTTAGCTGATGTCTCCCAACTCTAGCAGTGCAAGAAAGAGAAGAAGCCATTAAAAGATATATGGGTTATAAAAAAACCCCACACCTGGGAGTGGGAAACTCTATACTGGTTTTGCACGAGCAGCATCAGCCAGTCCCTTCTGTACACAATGCAAATATACACCATTGCATACTAGCATACTATCACCAGGATGCTGTTGTGCTCTTTCACCAGAACTGACCTATCATGCACAGGTGTCTCCCTATGGAAAGAAAGGAAATACAGGTAAGACAAGGGAGATGAACATGCTCTATTACCATTGCTTCATACCATAGCACTGTAGTTTGGTGATGCGAAGCTCTCTGCTGGCGCTGTTGATCCAAAAATGAGCCCAAGAAGTGCGCGTGCACAAATACACACATACAGAACAAGGCCATCTTTCTATTTTTTTCTTTTATTCACAATGACACTTTCTGTAGTAATTTTGAGAGAAGCAACACCATCATCTCACTCTGCACACTCTCGGAGAATAAGGCTTTCTGGACAGGGATCTGAGCAGCTGCTGCTTACCAGAAAATAAAATTCAAACTGCTGGAAGTGGGAGGACAAAGGGGGCAACAAACAACATTTGTTTAAAGTCTGGCAGCAACATCCCAATTAGGTGAATTACGGGATGCATCATCAGGACTGCTCCCTGAAGTGCCATAGGATAGGACAGCCCTTCTAGGACGTGTTGATTTAGCACTGCAAAAACGATCCTGAAGAGCACCACCACAGAAGGCTGAACTAAAGACCCGTTTGTCTCAAAAATCACACTTCCCACACAGCGCTGTTGCTCGCTTGCCATGTATATAAAGGTTGTAACAGTTAATCATTGAGACAGAGATAAATATTTATTCAGGGACTACCTTAACGTTGAATGTTATTTCCTCCATGACGTAAACTCGTTCAGGAAATGCTTTAGCCACCTCCTCCACACTGTTAAAATACTGCACTGGCTCCTTAATATCTCGGTCTTGTTCCAGCAGCTTAAACTGCCCTGAAAACAGATGATAAACAGAAGAATTGTAAGATATTTACATTGGACAACTGTCACTGTGGCAACTGCTGGCTCAACTTCTTCACTGTTTTCCTCGGTCAATTTTTCCGGTTATTTAGCAGCCAAAATATAAAATGAAAGACTGCAAAGAGCCTTCCAAACCTGCCATGAAGGACACCCAGTTTCACCAGGGCAGAACAAAAAGAATGTGCAGGAGCTGCAAATTTTAAAAGTTTCTTTTATCGCATGCTGTCTAGAAACAGTAAATAACTATTGAGGCTTCTGTGTTTATGTACTTCATATACTGTAATAGTATCTGTACAGATAACATGTTTGGCCCCTAATAATAGAAGCATTACAGAGAGAAAACACACCCAGTACTATAAAACCCCAAACAGTAAACACATATTTTTTTGAAGTATATATTTCAGTGTCATCAAAAGGCTATGAAAGTATGTGAGGCTACAATCCTTTTCCCCCAGGCTTTCCTAACAGTGGAACACTGTGGAACAGCACCTAGTACTTAATTACAAGCTAAGCCCTCTGAGAACTTCGACACTGCAAGAAATGAAACCATGCACATATAAAATCCTTTTGAAGGTGGTCAGCCTCAGACAAGCATTTGTTGCTTTCTCCCATGTTTTCAGTGCTGTGGGAGGCAAGGACCAGTACCAAGGAGCAATTGCTCTTGTGTGTAACAAACACCAAGTTTAGAAGTTTGTTGTATAAATAGAGGCATAATGAAAACTCAGACAGATATGTTGCTGTTTGTGTGACAAATCAGCAGAGCAATCTCCCTAAATTTAGAAACGTTAACTACTAACATTAACTACTACCAGACTAAAGGATGATCTCAGTGAGAGAACAGCATAGCAGGCCTCCTTGTAAGGAGCAACTTAAGAAAATGAGTAGAAATCCAATTAAAATCTGAGATTTGTGCATCTTCTGTAAATCATATTTTAAAATTAGGAATGCACTCAGACACCGGCTTATTGCTCACAGTGCTCAACTTCATGAAAATTCATCCAATACATGTCAGCCACCTACAGAAATATTCCCACTCCTTCAGCATTATTGTGCACCACACGCAGCTTCTCCTACGTACCCCCATCTGACACGTTCAGAGGATTCACCCGTATGAAATAGCTAAAGATGCTGTCATCTCCCATGTGCTGTTCTGTTCTGCGACTGTTTAATAAATCACTGCACTTCAAAATTCAGTTGTCTGAGTGTTTTTCTAACTCTGCGTCTGCTTCAGGACACACCATCATTTGAAGTCCAGCCAAGCCAGCTCAAGTACTTCAAAGATCAATGCTACTGTTCCTGTCGCAGGAATAGGCAAACCTTTGGTCTGACCTGGTGATGTCGTTCCTGTAGCGAATCACATTGCCGTCATACACTGCTAGGATGGTTTCACCACATCAGACCAAAGCTCTGCCTCAGAACCTGAGGCTCAAGGATGCTCAGAGCAGAGAAAAGGTTTTGGCTTAGCAGCTCTAAATTTCTACCCTGTAAATTTGTTTCCTCAAGGTATCTAAAAGTTTTAGCATAAGCAGACATCCGACCTGAAAAAATGTTGGCATTCTTCTTCCACAGGCTTTACAGTGCCTCCAACATTAAGAGCAGAAATTTCAGGAGTGACAAAGCTATGCCTGCCAGACACTACAGGTAGCCCTAAGAAATCTACAGCAGATAAGCATTTGAAAAGAACACCTTACATACATAATAGAAATGTATCAGCATTGTGCAGCCCATTTTGGTGCAAAGCAATCAAGGAGGAACCATGCACCTTCATAAAACTTGCTCAGGCAAGAGAAGCTGGAAATTGTGTTTTGATAAGGGACAGAGAGGGAGAAATGAAGTTAAAACAACTAGGCTTTTTAATCCCTCAGTCCCTACACATAGACAGTGTAGTTCTGGTTTTGGGAGCTCCCTGTCAGCCACTTCCTAACTTGGAGAAAGATGCTCTCCCCAGGTCTGCAGGTTCTCCTCCCTCCAGACAACCAGATCTCCTATGAAGGAATTTCAGGAAAGTGCACGAACCAAGTGAAGGCAGACCTTTACCTACATGTGCCAGGACATCATACAGCAGCACAGATTATGTGTGGCACCAGGGAGCGATGGCCTGATAGCACAGAGAAACAACCACACCGGAGCACAGAACCAATGACAGTATTCCACGTATAGTTACTAGAAATGAGATGTTTTTACATTTGACAGAAGTTGTCACAGTGTTCCCCATGGGTCAACTACTGGCTGTAGCTCACTCCTGCTTGCTTTGGAGTTGCTCTACAGGGAGCACCGCTGTCCCTCTTCACCTGGCTGCAACCCGAATTGACTGCCCAATTTGGGATCTAGGGGTTTGATCTGTAAGATTCCCAGCTGCAGTCACTATTTGAGGCAAACTGTGATTACAATTTATAATGGCATTTTATACTTTAAATCCCCAGAGGAATAAACAAACAAAATTACTGCAAGTTCTAGAAACCTCAGAAAGACCTGCTAAACTTAGCGGGGTTACCTTTGATTGAACACCCTTACCTACAGAATGGAGTTGAATACAATACTACACAGAAGCTACATAATAGCTGAAAACGGTGATATATTGCAGAGATAACATTTTGCTAGTTCAGAAATAAATAGGGAAATCTTGCTCAAGAGTGGGAATTGAGTTAAGCACAGTGACAGGGTACGAATTCATATGAATAATGGAGAAGAACATCATCTTGAACAATAATATTATCTAAACAAGACTAATCCAGCACTTTGAGTGAGGTCTTTAATTCTAGGTCCTGGAAGTGTAGTAGTGTTATTTTACTATGACTGTGATGTATTTAAAATATGTAGGTCTGATGGCAACAAAAAGCCAGTCATCCATTACAACTCAAACGTCTACAAAACAGTCCAGAATTTTTCACCAGAGAACAAAAGCTTTAGGCTGTAAGCAACCAGAAGGATCTGCTAGCTACTGCAAGCTTGCACAAGTTCTTGTAAAAAAAACCAAAAAGCATCAGTTGGAGTATTGCTTCGGTACAAAGAGATGCTCAGAACCATCTATGTAGCTGTCTGTGTCATCCTCCCTTCAGCTGAGCTGCACAAACACAAAGCTGTCTGTGCCTTCACTGCTAATGTTCAGCAGTTCACGAGGAGGCTGACTACAGAGGAGTACATACAGATCCAAAAGCACATAATAGAAGGGCAGCATTAATCTTCTCCTGTTACGAAATCAAGTATTCTGTGCATGGAAGCTGTCAGGACTGGATGTTAAAATGCTTTTCCTTTGGAAAATTCTCTGGATTTTCTATAGACTTTTTTGGAATTTATTTCTTCATTGAGAAAGGCAGACTTTTCTATTGGAAGGAGAGAAAAAGGGCAGAAGAGGGGCCTGCAAGACACTTATGAGCCAGATGTCAAGTAAGTAACAGGGAGAAAGCAGACAATTACTTATTATGTTCCTCCCAGTCTCTCAAATTGCCATAAAAAAGAGAGCATAGCTGAAACACAAGTCAAATGGACATAACTCTTGACTACAAGCTGAAATGGAATTTATTATCATTTACAATAGACAAGATTCCATCAAGAGACTTTACAAAACTGATAGCAAGCTTCAACAAATTACCGCACAATTTAACTGTGCTAATTAGGAATGTGACAAAAAAAAGAAGAAAATCTAAAGCTACACCTTTATAGAACTATCCTCCTTTCTCGTGCTGCTACAGAAAGAATAATGAAATATTCCTCTAGTAAATCAAGTTCAGAAAGATCAGAGATGTTATATTTGCATGGTCCACTGAGCAAGTGTGGTTACTCCTTTGCAGCCAAGTGCAAGGGAGTAATGAACGACTACTGCAAGCCTTATATCTCTTTATCTCTCAGTCTGGCCTCTGGCAGACAGAATATTGGAACAATTTCATTCTAGTACATATTATCTACACAGATTATGAAACCTTATTTCTGTCTGAAAGTACTTACAGCAAAGACTGTAAATTCACTACTAAAGGAAATGAATCTGGAAAGATAAAATGCAGGGAAAGAATTAAACCAGGTCTTATCCCCCAGTTTATGAAGGCATTTATTAAAAATGAGTAGGAAGATCATGCCATTCTGACTCTTGCAAGAAGCTGAACACTTATGAGCAGGATCTGCCCTAGATCATTAACCAGCCCTTTCTGTTCCAGCCTTTCGGTTGCTTCTGCCACTTCCACTGCTCAGGCTCTTGCAAGTTTATGGATGTACAGAACTGCATTGCATCTCATTCAGGTATTTCTGCAACGTAAGGTCTGCTGGTCTTACCTGCAATCTCCCCTTCACACCCAAACACACCTCAGCAGTTATAAATGCTCTGACTTATCTCCAAAACAAAAAAAATCGGACTGTTCTGTTATTAACAAGAAAAAAGTAGCTGTATGTCATCAGTAGAAAACGTGGAAGATCACCAAAACATCTGCTCAATTATGTTCGCTGTTAGACGTTTCCCTAAGGAGGCAGGAGTTGTATTGTCTTTCAGCAGCTTTGATTACTTAGCAAGTCTCACAAGGCAAAGCCTTGTGCTTCTTCAGAATGCGCAGACAGCACAGCGGGGTAGCCAAAGTACTGTAGAGGTTTATGTTTCCTATTATTTGTTGACTGCTGACTGCACTACAGTATTTCAAAGAATAACAGACTGGAATCAAAGAGAAAAGACCCTCTGCCTTCCAGATCACCACAATTTAGGAAAAAGACAATTTCTGTCTATGGTTTTCCATGTATCAAGATGACAGGAAACAACTCTGTCTTCCACTCCAAATGGGTGATCCTTGATATAACCGAGCAGAGTTGAATAACAGAAACCTAAAGAGTAAATAAGAAACAGTAAAGAGGGCAAACACAGGTAGCTTGCTAGATGCTAGGGAAAATGTCAGTTTATTTCCTCACTTTTCAACTCTATCAACTATGTCATATGCAAGAGTTGTTCCTTCCCCTCCTAATTTTCAGATAATAAAGCCAGTCAAGAACAATCA